AAGCCTATCAATCAACGCCATTTTCCGGTTTCGCCTGCCGTAGAAAAACTTTTGTATGCTGAGGTCGATCGAATGTAAAAGTTGGGGGTAATAGAGGAATCGGATAACGCGTGGTCGTCTCTAGTTGTTTTGGTCCAAAAGCCTGGCAAAGTTCGGCTGTGTTTGAATAGTCAAAAAGTGAACGCCGTGATCCACTGCCACAAACAGACGGAATTTTGAGCCTCCTGCCCAAGGCAGAGTTTATCTCTAGTTTAGATCTTAAATACGCATACTGGCAGATACCGCGTTTACCATTCCAGAGAAGCCTGTCTATTAATATAAAGTAATGCCATTTGGTCTCTCAAACGCGTCCCAAACGATAACACAATTGATGGATAAAGTTTTCGTTTACCTTGATGATTTGTTGATTATTTCCGATTGTTTATAAAGGTTTTAGAAGTTGTGGCAGGGCATGTGAAATCTGATGGATTAACGCACAATTAGGAAAAAAGCTAATTTTGTAGGTCCATAAAATAATTGGGCCACATAGTGGGAAACGGGGTAATTCAGACGGATCCGGAGAAAATCTTCGCGATGAAAGACTTTCCGTTGCCCAAATCATTATAGAGCCTTAGAAGAAATTTGTGAGGATTGGTCGGGTGGTATCGAAAATAAGTGGAAAATTTCGCACCTTTAACCGACTTGTTGAAGCCAAAACAAAAGTTCGCAATGACAACAGAAGGAGAGAGAGCTTTTGAGTGCTTAAAGCAGAAGTTATGTTCGGCTCCAGTATTGCGGAGTCCGGATTTCACGAAGCCATTCTTTGTACATTGTGACGCTAGCACGACAGGCGCTGGTGGAGTTCTAGTCCAAAAAACTTCAGAAGGAGATGAATACCCCATAGCCTTGGTGTCCAAAAAATTTAAAAAGTCACAGGCAAATTTCTTATTGACCGAGCAAGAACCTTTGGCAGTAATTGTAACCATTAATAGGTTCAGGGCGTATATTGAAGGACAATTTACTGTGATAACAGATCATGCATTTTTGAAGAGGTTGATGTCACAGACTGATCTACATTCCAGGTTGGCTCGCTGGGCGATAAAACTACAAGGGCTCGATTTTAAAATCGAACCCCGTACTGGCAGGTTGAATGTCGTGCCCGATGCTCTATCTCTAGCATTGCCATATTGGATGCCAACCATGGACTTCTAATAGATCTGGATTCCCCAGAATTGAATTCTGCAAATTATACTATGTTCCGGGAAGGTATAGAAGCTAGTCTAGACAAACTACCGGATTTAAGAGTGGTTGACGGCCTGGTTTACAAAAAAATGGATCACGATACTGGTGACTCACTTCATGATCCATTTAGTTAGAAACTTTGGATTCCGAAACCGCTAATAGAGAATGTTTTGCAGAGCATGCATGATCACCCAATGGCATCGCATGGAGGGATCCATAAAACCGTAGAACGCATAGGAATATTTATTGTTTTAGATCACTATTCGAAATTCGTGTTTTAAACGGCAGTGAAAAAACAAACTGCTGAGGTTATAGCGAAAAATATGTAACGGGAACTATTTCATAACTTTGGGATTCCAGAGACGGTGATCTCCGACAATGGTTCGCAGTTCAAGTCAGAATTTTTTCAACAGTTTCTGAGGAAATTTAAAATTGGGCACACGCAGCAGTGTACACAGCTCAAGCAAATGCGTCGGAGAGGGTTAATCGATCAGTGGTAGCTGCAATTCGGTCCTATGTTAGGCCTGACCAAAATAATTGCTGCGCCCTGAGAACTGCTGTTCATTCCGCGCTAGGAACGACCCTCTACTACATGGTATTCGGCCAGCACTTCGTAAATTCTGGTGCTATCTATAAGGGATGCTAGAGGATCGGACCGCTTTTGAAAAACAAGAGAAGATTCCTTGGAATTGGTGCGACGTCATGGACGTCATGAGGAAACAAAGCGAAAAGAACGAGCGGCTTTACAATTTGCGGGCAAAGGAAGTCTCTTAACGAGTTGGCCAGGAAGTGTTTCGCAAGAATTATTAACAAAGCAATTTCCAAGCGGGTTACAATGCGAGAGTACGGCAGAAGGTGGGGAATTCTTGCTATGAATTGAAAGATTTGCAGGGCTCTGTGTAAAAGTTTTCACGCCAAAGATTTAAAGCAATAACAGAATAGCCTCAAGCTTGGTTTTTATTAGTCTTGGGAGTCTGACCCCCAAGTCTGCTCTTCTGCGGGACCTAGGTGGGAGTATCGGATAGCATTCGCCATAGCTAAAGAGGGTGTCTAGGTTGCTGGTGAATCTGGGCGCTAAATGCAACACAGGCAAGTGTCACTGATCGGCTATGACCCGAAGAGGCCTTAGGCGGCGGAGAAGGTTTCCACCTGGTGTAGAGCGTTTGCCATAGTTTTTCCCATCTTAGTTCGTTTTTTTTAACGAAAGGGAAAAAAAAACTCAACTCAAGGCGAAAAAATTTTGGTGAAAAACTCAGCGTCGAGTTACGCAGGGTAAGGTTTTTGGTGCGGGGTTCTGGTCAAGGGAGTAAGAGGTTAAAAGTGTTTTTTGTGCATTTAGGCTTGGCGCTTAGTAAAAGCCCATTTTTGTTAACACGCTGGTGGTCTGCAAGCTACATTTGGAGTCTGCCAGAGAGGCCTATTAAATTTAGACGAATGACCCTAAACCAGGTGGATAAGAAGGAACCTAGCGAAAAGGCGCTCAGCATCTTTACGAACCGCAAATATTCCTAAGTTTATATCTATCTTTATTTCCCTATAAAAAAGGGAGATATATAAGACCGGATAGTGAAACACCTTTAGGAAGAAAGAATGTTAAGAGCGCCAAAATAGTATCAAGCTCTCCCGAAAATCACAGTCGCGGCGAATGGGCGAGAAGACGAAATAGGATAACTTAGTTTGGGCGGCGAGTCCATGTGAAGCGCGTGGAAAAAGGCACGACTGGCGCAGATCTTACTAAAAGCAGCAGATCCGGAAGTATTATCTTTTTGGTGAGATTGTGTTTTAACATAAAAAGTGAGGTTATGGTGTTGCAAGAAGGCCAGTAAGATAATTAAACCCTCCAATTTGTTTTTTTTTTTTAATTTTTTTTGGCGTGCAAATCTTTAATATCATTTGTGTTGGCCCCTCAATCTCTGAAGGTGAAAAAAGGAAAAATTCAATGCAAAAGAAAAATTGTCATAGAAGTCTGGCCACAGTGGGATGAGACCCGAGAAAAATGGACCAGTGCATAAGAGAGTTGTGTAGTGTTTAAAATGCATTCCACCACAGCAGCCACATCGGGAATGCGCTTTCTTCGAGGGAGCTAGATTTGGGTGAGTTTTACATAATTCTTTATTTCCAAACACATATTATGATCGTGCTGTTTCCGTCCCACAGTGCATTGCTAGGCACGAAAAAGCAAAGAAAAAGAAAGATGAGAACGGCAATTTTCAATGGAAGGATACATGAAATGCATACGAATTTGAAAATTAATAAAAGATTTCTTTTTTTATTGCCAAAATCGAATATTTTGTAAAGACCATAAAAGTTGTAAATTTATCTAGTAAGCGATTGCAATCCTTACTCATCACCTCACGTTACTTAGTTTTCGGATTGGCATATATTTAAGTTGTTTTGCTGTTTACTTTGCGCTCTGTTTACCTAGTCCGAAATTTAATTTGCTTTTTTATTTGTACTCAACGCTGTTTTATGTATCATTTTATTATGTCCATATGCTTAAGCAAAATATCTAGTTTTTAAGAATAAACGTTATAATATTTTAAATCATTCCCTTTTAATTGCCTTCACCAGTATGCCGCCCTAGTGAGTAGTTAGTATATGTTAAAGGGGTCATCCAAATTTAAGCGACGGTATGGATGACCATAAGTAGAGAGAGAGGGCAACATGGGTCCTCATGACATCAAAGGGCTCAGCAGATCTCGGAACGTGCGTGGAGAGAGCCTTTGTTTTTTAGAGTGTACAATGAGATTCTCTCACGCAATTCTATTTCTTGTCGTAGCACGCAAAATCAGTGAATATTTTGATGATAAAAGGCACTATTAGGAAAGCGGCAAAATCACCACCCCAAGCCGACGGGCCGGAGTCATTTCGCGTGCGCCTCTTTTCTAAAAATTACATCCAGCCTGAATCGTTACAAAATAAATAAATAAGTTATGGGCAATACCAACAAATGTAACGTGGCCAATAATTAATAAATAATAATAATATATAAATAGTAACAATTAAATCAATGATAATCAATAAATAAATAAGAAATGCCGGAAAATATATTAATGACCAATAAATACCTAAGGCTAAACAAATTCACACAAATAATTAAGTCCTAACAAAAAAAAAACAAGTCCCTCAAATCTAATTTTGTTCCTCTATTTTTTTCAGCCTCACCAACGGGAGATGGAGCCGATCACCAACCAGTCGTCTTGCGTCTACAATTCCGTCCGAATTCGCACTGAAAAAGCCGCTCGTCAACTGGACTAACTTTCAGCCATTCTGAAAGCATAGGATTTCCTTTTGAATTTGAGTTTTTCAGTCAAGTCGCGGTGATCGATCAGCGCGTGACAACGTCTCGTGTCACGACCAAACATTTAAGTTTAAAACCGATATGATATGAAAACACAAATACTAAGAAAACCAAAGGATCTGCACAAAAACAACAAATACAAATACAACTACACTACACCGAAACTAAACATTCATTAATATTACGTAAATAAAAAAAATAGGTCCCTAATACTATATCACAGGTTTATCACAGTTTGTGGTTCAACCTTTCGTGCTTATTGCACGGACGACCTGGGATGCGAATCCTTCGATTTTTGTCGAAAAGGATGTCACCACCAAATCACAGCTGAACCCTGTGAATTGTGCCTCGGGAGCAATCATCCTCACTCTCGTTCTACCTACAAAACTTAAATGACTCCTCTCCACCAGTCCGCATCCATGGTACAATTGCATGTGGGTTATGCAAGCCTCCGTTCGTGGGCTGGCGGTAGGCATAATATGCGAAACGCCGTCGACTCGGCTATCACATTTTTTTTTTAGTTAGTTTGGGCGCCATATTGTTACGGAACTGCATATTTCCCGAAGGGAAAGTGCCGGCTATCCACGGAGTCCCAGGACGGAGTACCCCATATGCCCTGCAGTCCGAACAATTGATTCCGACTCATCAGACGTCTCAAGTCACTAACCTTACAATTACCATCACTATCGCAAATCAAAACAAAACAAAGGTTTATTTACTTTCAAAAAGATTGATAATTGGACGAAATTGGTGACTTTGGTATCATTACCACGACGCACCCAAGGGCAATGTTGGATGCACACCCCATCTCCGGCAGACCGGAGTCTATTCCTGGTGGATTATAATCGGCTCATCTCCCCGCCCAAGGTAACTCACGCAAACATTTCGGCAATTAATGACTTTACTATTTATTCAAGGCAGAATTGAACGTTTGGTCATGGTCGAAGCAGCAGCAAGAAAGAAGAGAATGCAAGCGGCGAGAACCAGCACGAGTCCGCACGGAACCAAATGGCCCGGAGGAAGCTCAGCCTTTGGCCAGTAGGGGCCGGATGCAGTACGTCAGTGGTCCCAGGGATGACGACGTAGTCAACGCGGGTATTCGTTACCGGACTCACCGAGGGAATCACCTTGTGGGGTCGTCACTTAGGCAATTGCTGACGTTGATGCCGCTGTTGAAGTCTGCAGCTGATGTTGCTGCGGATCGCTGCTGATGCTGCTGCGGATCGCTGCTGATGCTGCTGCGGATCGCTGCTGACGGTCAGGTGCAGTCTCGGTAGTCCTCTACGGAGGACGTGGTCTTCACGACCAGGTTAGGTCCGCCATGTAAGTTTCTTCTGTTCACGAGTCTCCTAAATATCCGGTGCCCTTTAGATAGGGTTCCCAGTGGCTTTAATATTTTTTAAAAATCACTTATTTATAAGTTTAAGATCAATAAATAACTACTCACTTTAACATATCTAAGCACAAATAACGAATTTAAGAACTCCTATTTTTTCTCCGACCGTTCTAGGACTTATTGCAGCTACTGAAGTAAAACCCTTAAGTAAACCCTGAAAAATATAACATACTGCCACAGCAGTTTACGCTTAAACCGAGCTTAATTTTTATATCCTTGCAGAGGTTATTATAATTTCAGTCAGATGTTTGGAACGCAGTGAACGAGACATTTCCGACCCTACAAAGTGTATAGGATCTAGTCATGTCCGTCCGCCTGTCCGTTCGTTTCTACGCAAACTAGTCTCTCAGTTTTCAAGCTATCTGCAGGAATCTTTTTCTAGTGACTATAGCACATAGCTCCCATAGGAACAATCAAGAAATAAATGGAAAATGGAATGGTAAAATGAAAACAGGGATTATAGACAAAAATATTTTTTTTTATAATCACGGGTCAGACCGGTTTTCTCGGTTCTTTTAATGTACCCGTAATTTAAGAACGCCTCCTGACCATAGCATTAGCGTGTTTAAATAAAAAAAAATTGATTTTAGGTCTCCTGTACAAATTAGCACTTGTTATGACACTAAGCAAAACAAGGAAGTGCTTTCCAGTGGTTGGCGCAAATTTGTTTCAACTGCATGAACCGACCGCATTTCCAGTAATTGTTCGTGCAACAATTTATCGGAATCGAAACTCTGGCTGCAACTTTGATAAACAATGGCCGTCCGAAACCAGGGAGTCGCCTTGTGACGGGTCTTATGCCCAAATTAATAACGATTGAATTGGAAGAACTCATCGAATTTATTGTTTTTACAAACCTTTCCAACCTAGATTCTCGCCTTTCGAAATCGAGGTGTACGGCGCAAGCCTATATAAGGCGAAATGAAGTGTGGGAAACTTGGGCACTACGCTTCGAATTTCCCAAGGAAGCGTCATAATCTTCAAAAGGTAACGTGGGAATTGGTTGCCACAGAACTCATGGGTATTTTAAAACAATTTGGTGTGCCCATTCCAATTTGTTTTGATTCGGAAGCTGAAAATTCTTTTATAAAAAAAGCGTAACAGCGAATTTACACCGGAAACATCTGTCTAGCTCAGTGGTCCTAAGGGGCATTGGCAGTGAACCTGTAGGTAGTACAATACAGATTAATGAACATTTTCTTAAAATATTGCTTTCTGTTATAATGAATAAGTTTCTTAATGTTGATATTCTAATTGGACGAGACTTTCTAATTGGTCAAGGTCAAGGCTTTGGATCTGTTATCACAGAAAAAAAATCAAGATTTATTAATCAAAAATTGTACGATTTAATTTTAGGAAATCTTTTTAATTTTAAAGATTTAAATGAGTTAAAACAAGAGTGTTGATTGAAATATTGGAAAATTATTCCAAAGCGTTTACCGATGTCACTCCAACAACAAGAAGTCTATTTAATATATTTAAATCTATTCGGCGCCCATTTAGACTAAGTGAAGATGAAAATTTCACTTCTGTCATTGCCGAAGTTCGAACTTTTTTGTTCTTATTTATTTCGAAGTAATTCGGAGCAGCGGCTGAAAATGGGAGAGGATTGGACGGAGAGAAAACGGAGAAAAAAAATCAAAATCAAAAAAAAAAAAGTAATAACATTTTGGAAGTTATTGTAAAGTTGCAATAGGCAACGCCAAAATGTTCACGTTTGATTATCTGCCTTATGTAATTTTAACTACAAGGCATTGTTATGTCGGATATACCCTGGCACGCGTGAGGCAGAAATTTTGGTTTCGTTTTTCGTTCTCCCCATTCACTTTGCACTTGAATTCGACTGCAATAGAGTGTATGGAAGTATTTTTAAATGTGAAAATTTTAAGCGATTTTTAATTAATCAGGTAAGTGCATAAATATAAATAAAAAAATAATAAATAAATAAATATATTTGCACATTTGAACTACGGTGTCTAAGCGCTGCAAAAGCGTAATAGCTGAATGGGATTTCAATCATTGTTTAAACGGTTGTGAAATTAAATCGCGGTAAAATAAAGTTGTTAAAAAAACGCCTGCTATGGAATCCATTTGTGCAAATGATTTTCTTTTTGGTGATAAAAGTGCAGATTATGTGAAAGTGCTGTTATTGTGAAATTACATACATATCTTAAAAATTAATAAATATATTAGCGCTTCTAAAAAAGGGTATTCAAAAGTCTACACAGTTTTTTTTGTTCTTGAAATTTTGATTTATTGATTTTTTTTCTCCGTTTTCTCTCCGTCCAACCCTCTCCCATTTTCAGCCGCTGCTCCGAATTACTTCGAAATAAACAACAACTTCGGCAGTGGCAGAAAAGCCGACAGAATTTTGACAGCCTGCTTGTTTTGAAATTCGCTAGATGAAGCCCATGCGATTTGTTTTTGTTTTTCGAACATGCCGGCCAGGAAAAGGCAAGGAAGGGAATTTCAGAACTACAGGGTAATGAAAAAGCACGCTTGCAAGTAGTGTGGCTGCACTCCTTGCACAGCGGCCGTTTGGTAGTGATCAAGAACCGGGAATTCACGATTTTTTTTTAACAGTGCCCGGTTTGGCACTGCATCCAGCACGTGCGGCAGAGCACGAGGGAAAACACACAGGAGCAGCGGAGTTCCCGTCCCAGGACCAGCGGCGACGCAACTTATAAACAGTAGTCGGTTGGCACTGTGCCCAAAACGTACGAACGAGGAATAAAAAACACAGACGCATAGACCAGCAGCAGACAAAGTTCCCGGACCAGCGGTGATGATAAAATTCGGGAGGAGAAGACTTGTGTGCCCACGAATTGGGAAGACCAGTGTTAAGGATAGTAAATAAATACAACCTTTTTGTTTAAGTTCTGTATTGAAAAACTGTTTCATTTTATTTAAAACTTCTTGACAAGAAACTTATGTGAAAATCTTATTCTAATCTTAGCTATGGTCTACGCAGAGACCTAATCTTTTTAGTCTGGGCGGGGGAGTTATTTATTTTGCCCCCCGCACAATAACTCTCGGTGAAGGCACATCTGAGAGCGATAATATTAGATAGCTCAAGTGGCCTGCTGTTTACAGATTACAAGTGTATTTGAAAAACTGAACCCTTGTCGGGTCCCAGATCGTAAATTATGGCTCTTGATCGAATTACACAGTTCTACATGACATGTGCAGAGCTCATTAAATCTTAGACATTATATTTATCAGTGTTCGTCTGAACAACCAGCGAACACCGTTAAGCGGTGGATGTCGCAAGCCGGCTGGTGGCGGTCATGTCCACGTGTTTTTAAATTTTTCCCTGATCACGACGCGGTACCAGGTTGGGGTTAGGTTAGATCGCCACCTATTTATGCAGTGACGATAATTAATTAAAGAAAACATCAGCGTGGATTAGTAATAGTTAACTGGAAGCCTATCTTTTTATATATATTTTGGAGGTCGGAAATATTTCAACTAATGAAGGGGAAGGAAAGCCAAGAGTCCCACCAGTGGGCCTGCGAACGCCCGCCAACGATTGTTGACGGATCGTCCAAAGGTACTCGCAGGCTATCAGTTACGGCTAGGCCTTTCGACGATTGTCGGAAGGACTCCGCCTGCTCGGGCATGGCTTAGATCTAAGTACCTGTAGAACTTTTCAGCCAAGCGAAGAACAATTTTAAATCCGTATGCGACTAGCAAGTGCTCAAAATTGTTCCTAGCAAAGTATGGGTACTACAAGGGTACCTAAAACCATAATTGTACCTACAAATTCATAATTGCCCCAGATCTAAAAATATTTAACCCAGCGACTGACAACTAAAGTTTAAACATTTTCTGTAAAGTTACCCTGGCTAGATTGAGTCGACCCCTCCCTCATAGCTTCCATACAGATGGCGCCCGAACAGGGACATGGACCTAACTAATTTTAGATGAATTAAAACGGCCTAAAGACCCAATTTAATAATTTTTGTTGCGCAAGCAAAAATTTCTACGCCACACAGAAAAAATTGTTAATATTTAACTTCCGGGAGCAGCTTAACAACATCGATACAAAGATAACCTTAAATTTAAGTATGTCGAGCTCAAAAAATATTTACAAGTCCAGCCACGAAACTAAGTTACGCATGTCACATTGCTTCATGTATATACAAGAGAGGGCGAGCCGAATCCATTTACCTTGCATGCCTGCCGAGAGAGAGAGAGAGAGAAAGAGAAAAACATGAGGCGAGCAGACGAACACTAATACTTCCACAGCAACTCACGCTAAAACCGAGTGCAATTTTTATACCATTTCAGGGGGTATTATAATTTCTGTCAGAAGTTTGCAAAGGAGACATTTCCGACCCTATAAAGTAAATATATTCTTGATCAGCATCACTAGGAGAGTCGATCTAGCCATGTCCGTCTGTCTGCCCATCTGCTCGTCCGTTTCTACGCAAACTAGTCTCTCAGTTTTAAAGCTATCTGCATGAAACTTTCCCAAAAGTTGTCTGTTGCAGGTAGTACATAAGTCGGAACTATCCGAATCGGACGACTATAGCATATAGTTCCCATAGGAACAATCGGACTAATAAATGAAAACAAATTATAAGTTTGCTGTTTTTTTAATTTTTTTTAGTTCATCGACGTATTGCAATGGTTAAATATTTCAGAATTACGGTTCAAATTTCATCAAAATCGAACGACTATAACATTAAACTCCCGTGGGAACAATAAAATTATAAAAAAATAAAATAAAAAAAAAATGTAACGTTTTTATTTGGAATTTTTTTAAAATCCTTTTTGACTTTTTAATATATAGACAGTTCAGAATTACGCTTTTAATATTATAAAAATCGGAAAACGATGTCATATAGTTGACATAGGAACTATCAAATTATTGAGTTGCAAATCATCATAGCCACAAAGTTTTTAAAGTTTTAATGTTTTCAAGAATATTTAATTTTTGCAATAGCTGCAAGGGTGTATGAGATTGGGCTTTTCCAATGTTTGCTTCATTTCTTGTTAGTTCTATAACCGTGTTTTCCCCGCTACCACAATCGGCTACCGAAAGCCCTTTAGCTTTC